AGGTAGGCATCACCCCGGCCGACAGCGACTTGGTGTCCCTCGAACGATGTGTTGTGGGGTGGTTGGGCTGCGACGAGGCCAGCCTGGTGGCTTTCCGGCCACAATGCCCTGCTTTGCCCAGTGGTTGCCTCCCCGCTCACACCTTCGGCCACTCCCGTTGGGTCATACTGCGTCTCGGGGACAAGCACCCACGCGGACAGCTGCTGGGGATGGAAGAGGGGTTGAAAACCCAACAAATTGTGTATGCATTTGTGTGTACCCCCTGCTCTGTGAGGTCATCCCCACTGCAGGTACACAGTCATTGGTGCCAGCGCGGTGCTGGGACTCCTGCCAGTGTGGAAAGGTGGTCATTTGCCTGACCAGGGGACTCAGCTGAGGCCCCCTAACTTGTCTCTGCTTGAGAGACGACCTTGTCCATCTTTCCCAGTGAGATGTTTCACACACAGCCCCTCTCTCTCCAGAGAGCTAATCGAGGCAAAAAGGGCTGATAGCGCTCCCTAGCCTACATTAGTCCCCAAACAAACCTGCTGGTGAAAATGGTGGAGAACACCTTAAAAGTACATGCGACTTCCTTGTTGTGTGCGTTGAGATGCTATTTCCAGCGAGAATAGCTTCACCGCACTGGAAGCTGGCAGCGCTTGTGGTTCAAGGGTAGGACGTAAATGCAAACCGCAGGTAAACAGAGCTGCAGAAGTTGAGTGAGTTGGGCTGGTGGTAAGGGGATGCAGTCTTTTTCTCATTCCCCAAGTGAGAAATGGGTGTCGTGATCAACTGTGGGCCGGACTCGGCCGGTATTACCCATGCAAAGCCGTGCCTTGCTCCCTGCCCGGTTGTTAATTAATTGCATTGCCAGAGGTCGTTAAGGGACATTGCTCTAGTAGACATGTGGCCGAGTTTATGCAATGAAGTTCTTCTGTAAGAAGATCCCTTCAGCGGTTTGGGTTTGGTGTTTTCTTTTTTTCCCTTCCCCAAGTATGAAAAAAATAACTGCATGACTTTCCGTTCGCTTGAGTTCTCCTGCTTTTCTACATCATAGGAGCCTGCCAAAAAGGATGCTTTGGATGGTTTGTGGAAGGAGTTGCTCCAGAAGGGGGAAAAAAAGCGCCTGGCTTGCTTTTATAGCTGTAAATAGTTGAAACATTAGGTTCTGTGTCAGTCAGGCATCACTTGTACAACAGGAGCCTTTTTTTAGCAGTTTAAAGCCCATTGGTCAAATTTGCAAGCTTTTATTTTTTTATCATTATAATCTGAATGAAAGCAGGCTACCTAGGCTGGGTCAGAATGCTCTTGCTTTTTTCTATAAACATCCTTTCTAATGGCTTATTAATTAAGCCTGGGCCAGAATCGATCACTTTTCACTAAAGAGTGTTTTTCTCTGCCAGTGTTCCTATTTATTTCCTAGGGAATTATTACAATTCAGAAACTCTAAGGATGACAGACTGTGAATCTTAATATCAATTATTAAGTTAATTTGGATTGAGATAGGATGTGAATTTAAAGTGCACTTGCTTGACAGATGCTTATCTGTAATTCTTTGCATGGGTGCCCTCCTGCCAGCATAAGTGTGCTGCTAATCAGTAATCCGCTTTCAAAGAGTCCTGATCAATGCATCATCCATGTGTGGAGTTACTTCTTTTGGATGTAAGTAGTACCTAAACTAAACAAAATGTCACAGTTCCTGTGGTCTCCTTCCACTCTTAAGATGCAAATACTGCTTGCACTGTTACTTAGGGATGTAAATCCTTTGCGAGAAAAAAAGCGCAGGCTTCTGTTTTGTTGGTTTACATTTTAACACATTTAACTACAGGATTAGCTCCTCCGTGCAATTCAGTATAACTTAATCTGCTCTAATGGCTTGCTGTGTGCACATGCACTTTGTTTGGCGTTACATTTCAGTGTTTCTCTCAATAAGAACAAGACTGTAGTTTCTTGCTACATGTGTTCATGATGTTCTTTGCAGGGGGTATGTGTGAGTCCACATGATTTTTATATGCTTACACTCGAGATGTCAACATGAATCTATTTGCTGCTTTTGGAATGTAAACACAAAAAGGGTTAAAGGATGAAAAAGCAGTAGAGATGTTTCCTGGAGAAAACAGCCCCACTTTGAACTAAAGAGAGATTTTTTCCAGTTTAGCTTTTCAATGAGAGTGGCAGCAATTGGCAGGAGGATCCAACTTTTACAACTATGTTTTGAATGTATGAAGTACGTTGCTTAGCTACTAGACGCCAAGCCATGGCCGCATGTTTTGATGGGCTCTGAATACCGTCATGCTAATTTTTGAACATCCAGATGTCTTCTTCTAAATGGCTTGTTTTTTAGGCATGGGGTAAATGTGTGAGGTACATTTTCCGTCTTTGTTTACTAACTGAGGCCACCTTGAACTTTGTGTCTCTGCGTCAACAGAATAATATTTGCAAATCGTTTGTCAGCTGAACGCATGTCCTCAGCTGTATGTAACTGTTTATGTGTAGCTGGAATCTAAATTATGCACGCCTGTTGCCATACAAGTCTCAAATGTAATAATTATCTTCGTTCTGGAGTGACATTTACTTGGATGTTATTTTTGACACCAACAGAGGCTCTCTGAAAAGATAGTAGCTTTGCTTGAGTGTCTTATAAAAAAAAGAATCACTTCAGAATTCAGCTTCATCACTTCCTCCTCTTCTGTTGTCATTACTTGTTTAAAGATAAATTAATAACCATCGATAGACTGGTTATTAGTGTGCTGGCAGCTCTCCCTTATTATAAAGTTAGTACTGGCAGTTCAAATCATCGTCATCGTTCATACTAGGAAGGACTTCCCATGCAAAAAGATTTTTAGAAGGAGATTTACTGATTCTGGATTAAAACAACTACTCACTTTTGGTCATAACCTGCATTTAATTTGATAAGGGCTTTAAAGCAATCATGCTGCAGAACGTAGTAAATAAGTATGAACATGAGTTCAGCTTTGGGTGATACAAAGCTATTTTAAGGCTCTATGTTGCTTATCGGTGGTGGCAAGGACCAGGCAACTGTCCATTAGCTGCAGCCAATCCTGCGTTTGCTCTGTAACTGCAGTAACGTGTCTGGCTTTATATCACCTGTGTAGGAGATTGTGAAAACCTTCAGTGGACACGGAAATTATCCATCACTAAATATTACAGAAACTTAGTTGGATTCCACAGTGATTATTTAAATTCCCAAAATCTTAATAAGGAGAAGTGTATTTTCCCAGTGGTCTCAATCTCTCACTTTGAGCCATGATGGCCATTATCAAGCCTGACAGAGGTCTGACTTATCAGTACCAAAAAGTGATTATTTTCTAAGAAATCCTGTGAGACTTGTCATTCAAGCAGCTTGGACTCAGCAACCCTAGCGAATACATGGGTCCCCTGCTGTTTGACTACTATGTGGTTGAATCCTTGACAGCAGCTGCAAATTTTTGGGCCGCATGCATCCTCAGAGCATCCTCCGTGGAATATGGTGATGCAAAGGTTTGATCATCTGGTGGCCAGGTGAGTCCTCCACCCCCTGCAGTGGTAGAGAAGCGGCTGTGTGGTGGGAAGGAGGAAGAGCTTGTAAAGCCCTCTTCCCCTGGAGGTTAGCTTGCTTTGTTCTCAATGGCAGTGAAGTCAGCAGCAAATTTAGAATTTAGTCCATTTCAGGCTTTTTCGTTGTGGACTGTTCTCAGAAGCTGGAAACAGGTTATCTTCAGTGTTCAGGTTTTTCTGGGTGCAAGAAAATACTTGCCAGATTATTTATCACAGTACAAAAGCATATGAGACATGACTTGCAAACTGCACGTGAACTCAGGCTGTTCTTTTCCTGGGTCTGGCCTGCTCTGCAATTACCCTCTAGTATTTATCCAATCTATTTCATTAGTGACCCTTAGTTAAATTTCTAGTGAACTATTGAATGCATTTGGACAAAATCCAGTTCTCTTCCTTTCCTTTCCCCCCCAATTCTGAATCATGTGAAAATTAAAATAAATATTTCTCACAGTAGATACAGGCAACAAGAGAAAGAAAAAAATACTTTCCTAAGTGCTTGTTAGCATCATCCATGATAGTATCATCATGCCTGGCTCTAACAGAAAGTTCCTATTAGAGCCAAAGGCCGCTGTCCTGCCTTTTTCCACACAGCAATTATGTGAATCTTGTGTGTGTGATTTATTTTAACTGTCAACCTGACAGTGCTGTTGAAATTTAACAGCAAGCTTTGGATTATCTCAGCTCTATAGATGATAATTTCATTGCGTGGAGCACATGCTTTCTCTGGCTCTAGTTCCTTCTTTTTTTTCTTTTCTATATTATCATCTTTACACAATTGCTATCCCATATTAGTAAAACAGGTCACTGTACCAGTGGTCAACAGAATATATTTCACTGATGTTTATTATTATTATTACTCTGAAGAAATTATAATGTGATGGGTCTACCAGTTTTGTAGTGTTTTCACCAGTTTTGTTGCAAGTCTAATACATTTAGATAATGTCCCTGGGGAAAATAAAGTGGGACATAATTTGTGCAGGAGAGGTAGGATGATTCACGCTAATCTACAGAGATGGCATGGGGTTCCCCTGCAGAGGAACTATGGGTTAGGGAAGTTCAGTCGCACATTTTTCCATGTTCACCAATCACCAGTTTCATGACTGAAACTTTGACTGCCCTTCCCCTCCCCTGGCAGAGTCCAAAAGCTTTATGTGTCAATATTTTTAAATAATCTGTGGTTTGCATAGTGCTGCATTTTCTTTATGTGCTTTAGGAAAAAAAGAAGTTGTGTTAATATGTACATTCAGAGCATAAAAGCTTAGTCCAGTTTAGGCTTTATTTCTAATACTTTGTTGCAGACTGTCCTGGGATGACGAGTGCCTAGGGTCACCGTACCATATAAGGGGAGAGTAAAAACTTGCCTAAATGTCTGGTCTGGTAGTTTCAGAAGCCAGCAAACATAGCACGTATGTATTAAAGTTAGCCCAACAGGACATCACCCATACATCAGGATTTCTTAAATTTCACCTTACCTAGAATTCAGAAAGACAGCTCTATACATTTGAGATTTAAATGCCCAAACCCCAGTCCTGAATTTAGCATATTAACCTGAAAGGAAGATGACCTCAATTTTTAAGTTAAACTACCGGAGGAAAATACATGACTTTGTTTTGGTCAGTATGGCAGTACAGTTTTCCCAGAAAGGTAACCAGGCTTCAGTCTTTTCTGTCAAAATATGGCCATGGTAGGACAAAACAGTAACCCAGTGAGTCTGATGGAAGTCCTTCCTCACTTCAGAGTGATGGCCGAGCCCTCTCCCTGGTGCCCTAACCTGGCCCTAACCTGGGCGTCCCCTGAGCAAGACCCACCAGTGTCTCAGGAAGAGGACTTTTCACAACAGTCTTCCTCCAGGGCAGCCTTCCACCATTTTGGCTTGTAAAGTCTCTCTTTAAGTGTCATAGTATCGGTTGAGGGGTAAACCAGACAGCTCCCTAGTTGCTTTGTTCACCAGTTAGCCCTTATTTTCAATACCTTTTGTGGTCTTTTGTCTTGGGTCTTGTGCTCCTTTTGACTTCCAGACATCATGCAACCCTTGGGTGATACCCAGAATACTCTCTGTTTGCCTGAACCTTACTTTCCTGTCCATGTTGCTGTGACATTAATAAGCTTTCACCCACTTTGCAGAGCGGCATGCAGGAGGGTAGATGCGTGGGTCCCAAATACCACCTGACCCCACCTTCCCTTCACAGGGCTGCGGTGGGAACGCTGCTGCAGGAAGTTGGAAAGTCATATTTAATTCCTTCCTCTGCTTGAGGGATTTTAGGTTTGTATCGCCCACCTCCCAGGAGAGGTCCTTAACCGGTAGGTTGTAAGCTGTTCCAGGTGTTAAGGAAACTTTCCACCCCTCTGACCAAAGCTATGTCACTGTTTAGCAAGTAATTTAAGATTCATATGGTGAGAAGGAGAGAAATCGTGACCTGGAGCCGCTGACGGGAGCGCACTGCTTAGAGCAAGGCGGTCTGGGTTCCCAAAGCACAGAGAGAAGACTGTTTCTGTAATTTACCAAAGGACTGTTCAGTGTAAAATACAGAAGCAGGCTGAGGAATAAGGACCAAAATTTAGGTCCCTTCACCAAGCACCATAATCACAAACTTCAGCCTGGGCTAAGGAAACGTTTGGCACATGGGCTGCAACAGGAGAAGCCACAGCTCCCCGCACGTGCGGACACATGCAGACCCTCATTGTACACCATAGTCTGTTGTAGACCATAGGGCACTCTCCTAAGTAACATGCTTCTAAGTATCCTCATCCCTGAAAGGAATTTGAAGCTCCATCACCTTCTTATTGGGCAAAAGCCTTAACTGATGATCCAGTGTAAAGAAACCAGAAAAGCAAGCGAAAAAACACACGGAGAAGTAAAAGCTGTGAGCTGTGCTTTAAAGGACGGTAATGTGCAGCTGTGCCTGATAGAAAGCCTAATCCTGTTGGTTTCTCGTACATCTGATCTGAGAACGTCTGTAGGCTTAGCTTCCCTCCGGGGCAAAGATAGAGAAACATTAAGCATCTCAACCCAGATCAAGCTTTAGTGTAAGCTAAATGCTGGGCTGCTCAAGACTGTAAAACTGTGGCACTTTGGGGCCCACAAGGTCACAAACTGCAAGCCCCCACAGGACATGTGAGCCTATTTTGTTCTTCTGCCTTTACGTTCCGCCAAACTGTCCACGTTGGTGCTTAAATCGCGTTTTGGATCCGCTCCATGGGCTCTGGCCAAATACCAGGTTTCACTAAACAGTTTATTCTTGGTTTTAAGCCTACTGCACAAATCAAAGAATTTCAGGTAAAATAGATTAACTGCTCCAGCAGGGAGTTATCTTCATTCACAACAATGCCACGTATACATGGCAAACAGCCAGCTGCTCTTGATGTACTTAGAAATGCCAAGAAAACTTGGCCTTTAATAAGCTGTCTAATTAACTACTAGTCTTATGATGTACAGCTCAGTTTTCCTAAGTCATTCCTTTGCCAAAGCTTAAGGCTTAATATCTATTGCCTCCTGTGTTGCAAATGCATTTCCTAGTTACTCTTCTATTTTGAAGCTACTGTAATGCTGAACAAGGTCCAGAATCTGCATTCCTTCTTTAGAAATATCAAGAAACACTTACTCTTTGAAGCTTCTGCCACTCTTTGGAGGCAATTATATAAGTATACAGATCTGAGTAAACGATCAACATTTTAAATAGAAGCCACACACCAGAGAGAAATAATGATTGGAAACTCATTTTAAGTACCATGTGAGTCCCCGCTTTCTTAGTGCTTTAGCTGGAGTATGAAAAGTTGAAGACCCACGCAGACTTTTTAGATTGCGTCATTACATCAGGTCCTGTTTTTAACAACAACAAAAATTTCAACAGAAATAAAAACTTCTGATGCACTCCCAGAAACTTTACTTCATAAAAGTCTGAGACTGCTTTCTAAGACTGCCCAGGAAAACTAAAAATATGGCTGTTGATGCTAGTAACAAATAATCTATGGCCAGTACAGCTACAGGAGGTTTAAGTCAAAAGAAATTTTGCCATAAAGATTTAAATTGGTGGAAGTATAAACAGGCATGATTTTCAATAACGTCACTCAAAGTCACACTGTTGGGAAGTACCATGTAGCTAGGGAACGGTGAGTCAACCCGACAGCAAACATTTCAGAATATTTGTCTCAAGAGGTGCCGCTTGATAGGCTTCAATTATGTATATAGCATATACTGTGTGATGGTATGGATAGAAATAAAGTTCAAATCATGCAGAGGCAAGGGAAATAAAGAATAAATGAGACTATGAGTTGAGAACATAATGGAGCTGAGCCTTCAGTAATCTGCCTAAGTGATTAGTGACAATGTCAGCATTAGCTTAAAAAAAGCATCCTCGTGCGGTCACTGAGGGCTGAAGTCTGCAACGAAAACCAGCAGGCTCAGCACGTGCTTTCTGTTCAAAGCGTACCCAACGCGTGGCCTGCTCTAGCTGCGGATGGGCAACCTGTAGACGGCCTTCCCCAATAACAGCTTCATACAAAGAAGCTAACGCCAGAAAATGTTTCCTGTCCTTGTTTCCAAGATCCTTTACAAGCCTCCTCCACCGCTGCCCAGCTGGGATTCGGTAGGCGTCTGCAGGGCTCCCCACGCCGCCTTGCTCAGGCTGCTGCGGGGGCAGCGCAGATGTGGGCATGGAGCTGCCAAAGGGAGTGGGGCTTTGCTGCGTCACTGCCGGCCACTTTCTGACCGCAGTGCGGTCACTCTCCTCTCTTCTGCTTTACAGGGATCACTGGTCCAGCACCATCTGAGGACAGCTGTTTTCCAGCTGTCCGTGGGGTGTTGGAGGAGCTAGGTAATTCTACAGATAAGCAATTTTCAGAATCACTTATTTTCTGCTGTGGGATTTCCTAGGAGCAACCTTTGACTAGTACAGCCCTTGAAGAAAGTAATTTTATCTGACCTGAAGTTAAGGTATTTCGTAGAGAAAGCATAAAGCCCGCTTTGTTTTGTCTGGACAACTGTTACGGAAGTAAGCACTGCCTTGAAAGTTACAAGTAGGATGCTGAGGTGTGTGGGTATGTGTCACTCTCTGGGAAATGATGGAAACAGAGGTTTGATGAAGTGACCAGGCGTGCAGTGTGGTGCAATGTCAGTAACATGTACCATATGAAAAGTAACCAAACATTGCTATGTCCATTAATGCTTGCGTATGTAGATAGCTATTTTTTTGAGTCTAATGACGGTGGTGTAATGCAATCCTGTGCATAGCTTTTGAAATTTTGAGGGTGCGATTACTAACTGGCCAAGAGGCAGAAGGGCTGCTTATGGTGAACATCCCTGTCGTAATCTTCCATACTCCACACATCCCATCAGAAGTAACTAAGGAAGTTTGTGAGAATGCCTGCTTAGAAAGATTGTATCCTTTTAATTATACTTGTGTCATCAAATCTGGAGAATCATGGTGAGGTCTGGTTGCATCTGCTGGTGTAGCTTCATAGCCATATCACTGGCATAGCTTCTTCTTGTATGCAAATGGAAATAAGTCCTGCACTGGCATAAGACATCTCTGTGCTGATATAATTGTGCCCACGCTGGGAGCAGTACTGATGTGAGTATCTACGTAATAATGACACCCAAATACAAGAAGAGACCAAATGACATAAAATCTGCATGCAGAGGCAAGGCCTGAATTAATGCATTTTATACTATTATTGGCACTGTCAACCTGAGAGTAATTTAGACCTCTTCTGGTAAGCTGCTTTCTATCTGATTTATGTGCTTTTTGGTACGGTACTTGTGTAAGAATTTCAGTTCAACTGCTTGTGTGGATTCAGTTCCAGTTGCACTAGTATAAGGGTATTTTACTTCCTGTACAGCTTACACTCATTTATTTGGACTGATTATGTCACTGTGAAAAGGTATTTTTATTGGTACTGCGCACATGCATTTTTTCTGAGTTTCGTTACTCATGCCGCTGTAGGTAAAACACTTACATTTACATAGAATTTACTCTATGTAGAATGTATTCTCAGACTGAAAGGGCCAGATTCAGAAGTGATACATAAAGGGCTAAATGGTTCTGAACCCAAGCAAAAGTAATAGGAGTTTAAGGATTGTATCTTCCTTGTTGAATATGCCCCAGATGTTTGACACTGTAATAACATGGCCTCACTTAGCTCCTCTTCCAACACTGGTCCAGAGATGCTGAAAATGCTATGAAGTTTATTTACCTAAACGGAACTGGGGGAAAAAAATGCATTTCTTTTGAACAGAAAGACTTGAAGTACTTGAAAGTACTTGAAAAGGGGCATCCTTACTTTGTACCTTCCCTGGACCCATGCAGAGCCAGAAGCAAAGTCTGGGCAGCTATTTGGATGTCAGTGTGGGAGCCAGTGGGGTTAGAGAGAAAATTGTCTACATGTTATCTGCATTGCTACAGAATGGAAGGTTTTCTTAAACCATGGGATATAGCTGTGAAAATCTGGGAATTGAAATACTTTTGAACTTTATTCCTTCTGTTACTATGAGACTGCTTTGTTCATTGGTACTGTGGCATTTAAATCTTTTGACATGAAGTAGCACCAAAAGTGCACTTACTGAAAAGTGTTCCCAGACACCTGGAAGCCAGAACTGATCCTGGCATTCTTGTTCCATGTATGTAATATTGCTATGTAATTTTAGCGTGAAAATTTCTTTATTTCCTCTTGGGGAAAAATCAACTACTTTTTTTTTTTTTTTTTTTTTAAGAGATGCTTTACAGTTTCACAGTATCTGTGAACTCAGTGTGTTTTTCTTTGACTTCAGTGGGATTTGAATCCTGTGTATTTTCAAGTTTGCCTAAATTTGAAACTATCATAGTCAGTGAACATTGTTGACCTGAAGCTTCATACAGTATATCTGTTACTCAGATGGATTAGTTATGAACAGCTCCATAAAAGAACATCATTATAAAAGGAGATCTGAAGGGGAGAAGAGAATCTTAAAAATGAAGGGAAAAAAGGTACTTTTTGATCATTTTGATGATAACATTTGGTAATACTGTCATGCCTTGAAAATGACTATTTCATTCAACTACAGTGAAATGTTGAAGTGTTACAAATAGCATGGTACGTACTGCCCTTCTCAACCAAAAAAGCGTGTATATGTACATTCAGACTAATATTTTTCCATCTGCTTCGGCAGAAGCACTGAAAAGTTACTTCTGATTATTAGAATACTATGTCTGACCAAAGCTGCCTTCGTCATTATCATTTTCATTTTCATTATTGTCATTATCATTCTGTAATGGAAAAAGACCTAATAATACCTGCATGGTTTTTGGAGACACCCGATATCTACAAGTAGGAAACATGATCGAGTTGTTGCACTAGTAAGACTGGGAATCAAGGGATTTTACACTCTGTCATATCACTGACTCTTTAACAACCTCTGAGAATTGCTTAAATACTTGGTATATTGGGTAGTACATTATTAATCATTGTACTACTTGACAGATGTGACATGAGGTTTAATAAATAACAACCTAATTTCGTTAAGTGCAAGTAAAAGACTTGCCTTTAGAAAAGAAAGGTGATCTCTGGTTGAAGGACTGATCAGGAATCTGAAGCTTTCTCTTTATGCCTTGGTTCACCTTCTGTAAACAAAGACAATATTCTATTTTTATTGTCTGTGAAGAAATCCTTCTACAGTGTGTATTTTGAGTACCTAACTCAATGAAGTTTGAGCCTCTGTATGCATTGCAGAAATACAAATTTACTAACAATAATTAATTGCAGAACGTATCCAAATCCTGTTAAAGTCAATGAAAATACTCCCACTGATTTTACCAGGGGTGGGATTGGGTCACTGTGCTTTTAAGCTGCATTGGCATCTTTAGATGGAAGCTTATATTGATGGGTTTTATCCAGGTTCTGCTGTTTGCAAAGCGCTGGTGACTTTAACCTGCTGTTACCTGTGGGTGTAAAAATTTATTTTAATGATTTTTTTTTTTTTTCCTTCCTGGGCAGGATTTATGTGGGCATCATTCATGTGATACTCTGGGAATGGCAGACGTTGGGACCATATGCTCTCCTGAGCGCAGCTGTGCAGTGATTGAAGATGACGGCCTCCATGCAGCTTTTACAGTGGCTCACGAAATTGGTATGCAGTGCCTTTTCTGTTCGCTTGCCAAATCAAACACTTGTAACAGCTGCATTAGTAACCAAAATACTTCGCAATTAATTCCAGATTTCCCCTGGTCCAGATACTCACATGGGGATTAAGGCTGTATACATATGCACTTCAGGGTTAACTAATAAGGGATCAGAAGGCAAGTGAAGGCGCACAGTAGGTGTTTCCTTTCTGACAGTGTCGTTTCTAAGCAGTAGTTGAAGTGAAAATTCAAAGGCTGCTGCTACTGTCCAAAGATGTCAATACATGTCCCTCCTGAGAAGCATTTGTCCCATCTATTGTAGTTCGCATGCATTTAGCGCATACACAGTGGAAAATAGCTCGCTTGCATGCGCTACTGTTACAAAACTTTTTCTGGGGACAAGGTATTATCTGCAGAGGAAGGCTTTTGTGGAAAGAAACAGAATTCTAATATTTTTCTGAGTGTATGGATATTCCATCTTTATGGTAAAATATGGTACTAATGTGAATCCTGAAATAGGTGAAATAGTATTTAGGTGATAAATGTTTGGTCAAAAAAATGTTTAACTTTGCTTCAGTTTCCACCTCAGTGAACAGCAATTTAATGTAGGAGCCTTATATGTACCCTTCAGAAGAATTTGAGATAGAATTGGTGACAGAAGAAAGATCATATTCTGGGATATTCCCTCTGTCATGGTATATTCTTTCAGAGAGACTGCTGCCATCTTGGTTATTTTTAATTTACTAATGTTTTGTGAGCTGTGTTCACTGAAAATACATTCGGAATGAAGGCTATTCGTTTTGGTGAGTGAACAGAAATTTAAAAGTGGAGAACATTGGGGTTTTTTTAACATTCTTGGAAGGAAATAACAAGGAAAGAACTTTCAGAGAGAGCCAATTGCTGAATTGCCTTGTACTTCATGCCAAACCAAAGTAAAGTTTGCTTTGGGAGTATCATTGCAGTAGTTCGATTTTCAAGTAGCTAGCAGGTAGAGCCCAAGAGCTGTGTGCCTTATATATTCATCTGGCTCAGCAACCGGAGGTCACCAAGTATGAAAAAGCAGCTGGCATGTCAGTGACCTGACCCTTCAACGATTAGTGAACCTAACCCTACTGCTCTTACGGTGCTACAAAGAAATGAAATCAGTAGCGGCTGGAGTGGGATCATGTGTTGCATGAAAACATAAAATGTTGTGGCAGAATGGGTCCTCAAACCAGACATCTTATTTTAATAAACAAGAGTATACGTATAAAAGAAAAAGCCGCCTGAAATCACTTAGCTCAGAGCATTTGGAATTAGGTACAGCAATACATCAAATACAACTTCACATCAAATGAGTTTAGTGGCATCAAACCTGGATGCTGTGAAGCTAATGACCCGTCACAAACCTGGTCTAGAACTGGGACAAGGAGATAGATTGGCAGACTTGGCCTATCACTCAAAGGCCAGTCTGCTAGAGGGACTGCTTGTATCTTCTTGCATCCAGAAGTGATGCTTACTGCTGAAGGTTAGCAGGCATTGGTGAAGCTACATGAGGGAACTTCTTGTGATGCCAGTGTGGATATATCTGGTGTGTGAAGAGGTGAGTAATGTGTCTCAACTACCATTTCATAAGCAATAAATACATGTTTAGGGACATTAAAAATGAAAGAACATAGATCAATAAAGATAGGGATGAGCAGTAAGTATACATATTATTACCCTGAATTCCACACAAAGGAAATATAAACAAAAGTGAATTATTTTTAGTGATCTAGAAGCACGTTTTTTGAAAAAGAGCCATTTTCATACCTAGACATTTACAGGAATCTGTAAAAGCTATAATTTTCAACATAAAAAAGGCATGGATTGAAATTAATAAATAAGTACCCTAATAGACAAAAAAACTCTAGTTTGAGGTTGTTTAAAATAACATCCTTTTTTTTCTCCTCACCATGAGATTTTAAGAAAGGACGGGTGTCAAGTCACAGAATGACCTTTGTGTGTGTGGCCTGAAGTGGGAGAAGTTGAGAAGAAAACAGCTAAAATTGCTTGAGTACTTACATTAAATTAAAGGTCAAAAAAGGTTGAAAAATAAAAATGTGGCATGGATACCCTTTAGTTAAGCACTTTGGGGGAAACCCTGCTTTATTTTATTTGGAGACCATATTTCTTCCTACAATTCAGAAGTGTTAAAGTTCCCCCTATCCTGTGGGTAGGGTGCAGCTGTAATTTTAGAGCGGCATAGTTATTCGGTGGAATTCACCTGGCAGTGTAAGAGATGCCCTGCAAAGCAGAGGGGATGCTAAGGGCTCTGAGCCTAAGATGCTCATTTCTGTTAGCAGGAAGAACAAGGTGAGCCACCAAGTGAATCAGAGTCACCGTCTGCAGGTTTTTTTAAATAACTGTGCTGCGTGTGCAGCAACATTAATGTGGACTTGATCTGGAGAATGGCTGTGTGTCCTCACTTTGACTTCCAAGGGGATCTGAATGCTCTTGTTTCCTCTCTGAAGGATCCAAGAGCATTTTTGAGGATCAGATTCTTTCTCTGGAAGGCAACCAAAGTAAATGGAACTGCCGCTGAACAGACGGGATGATGCACAGCCCAGGGCCTCAGGTTGGATGCGTGCATAGGAAGCTAAAAAGCAGCCTGATACAGAATAAAGCCTGCTGCTTCTGTTGCCAGGGTTTCTACTACATTATGTGTTAGATGTTTATTTTATTTATTTCAGATAAAATAGATGGATTTTGACCAGTGGTTTTTGAGAGGGAGAGAGTGGCTGAGCAGCAATAACAAGCAAAATCTCCAAAGAGCTGTAAATGAGAGCACAGAAAGAAATAGATGCAACCAAATTCTTAGTACAACTGATCAGCTGACAGTAAGAGGTGGAGATCCATATATAAAGATTGATGAGGTAGGACCTGAATCTTGTCCTACTTGTATGTAGGAAAATCAGGAAGAATTTGTCTCCGATGTCACATGCAGAAAATGAGGATAATGCAACACAAAAACAGGAGGAAACCTTGTAACTTTGAACGTGATAATCCAGTTTCTCCTCAGAATAAAGGGAAGCAGTGCTAATACCATAAATTTTATTTTTAAATCATAGCCTGTCAAGACATCCAGTCACTAACAGCAGATCCATATATGGTTGTTTTCCAGCAGGGGACTTGCTGCTATCAGTTTGGACAGCAGTAGCTTTGCTGTCACAAAAATAGTCTTGTGGATTCTTGCCTGAAATTGTCAGTTCAGCTCCATGTTGTGTCATGTGGATCTTCTTTGACTTTAAGCAACTTCTTCAGCTGTGCCTCCATAGCTCGGCAGGGATATGTGAGCTAGCTTAGGCACAGTATGTAGACATTCTCCAAGTCTTTGTTATCATCAGCCTGTTTTCTGTAAAGAAATTATTTCATGTACTTATTTCATGTACTTCCCTGCTTCACAGAGATGTCTGGAGAAAAACATTAAAGAACCTATGATTGCTCATAATCTCAAGAATTATTTAATGTTTTTCATAGGTCAGCACTAGCGTATTGCTTTTCTGTGTATCCCTTATTAAAATAACCAGTAGGAAACAAAAATAACTAGATTCTCACTCATATTCTGGACTTTTGGGTCGGAGATTTGTTGCTTATACAGTGTTGAAGTGTAAGCCAACTTGTGCATCCCATGAAGATAAGTATGATCCAACGTCACTGACAGACACAGTCAATCAATTTGAAATTACGTTTAACGTCTCTTGCAACGGGATATCCAACCTGCGACAATTCCGTGTGTAGTCGCCTGGTGTTGTATTTTGTGATGCAGTCACAGTCCAAAGTTTCTGCTGACTTTGGCTCCTCGTATGCTGGAGTCTGCATGCTTTGGTACAGACAGCCCATCACCCTAAAGCGTTTATCGTCTACAAAAACAAAATGAGAAGAGTTCAAGAGAAAATAAGTGGAGCTACTGCTTGTTTTATCAATAAATAATTTCCTAAAATCGCAAAGGAAGTCTTAAGGAAATACAAGGATTAAACTCGTCTCTTGAGTTTTGATCTAGTCCTCAAATACAAAAGCATCCTTCCTGCAGTTGTTAAGCAGGCAAAGCTCCAGTTTAGTCCAGTGAGAGTTACATGGGTCTAATAACTTAAATTATATGCATCTTTTTTTCTTTTTTTTTTTCAAGAGGAGCTACAGAGAAAGTGCTGCCTTTTTGCTTAGTGGTAATGTTCATTTGACCTTTTGCAAAGTTCCTATTTCTCTGTTACACAACTATGCTGGCATGCTATTACTCCTGCTATCCTCCTGAGTAATACGGTTTACTGATGTTCTTTCCAAGTATTTTATTTTTAGAATATAGCTTTAAAATTGCTACATGGAACTCATTAAACCTCTGTTCATTAGTTTTCTTTTATCTTTTACACGTGACTTTAGAGAAGGGAAGGCCAAAGGGGGACATAAAAGCAGTCTTCAAATACATTTAAAAAATCGCTGCGAAAATTTACGTAATAAATCATTCTCCATGTCCACCTGGGACAGCACAAGGGGTAATGGCCTTAAATTGCAGCAAGGGAGATTTACTTTAAGCATTAGCCAAAATCATCTAACCAGAAGGACAGTTAAGGGCAATTATGAATTGCTTTGGGAGGCTATGAAATCTCCGTTACTGGAGGTTCGCAGGAACTGGCTGGCTAAAACATCTGTGGCTTTGGGGATGCTCATCCTACCCTAGGGCAGAGGGATTCACAAGATGGCTTTTCAAGGGCTCCTCTCAGGCTCATTTTCTGTGGTTATGTGAAGTTATCACAGCTTCCTCCACAGCTACGCTGTGTAACATGTAAAATCAAGGAACTGTGCAGAAATTAAAACTAGAAAATAATGTGGTTAATACCAAATCTTTTTCGGTGTGCCATCATTCTGTGGCATCTGCCACCACTGAGCACTGTCAGCAAAGTGTAGTGCTGTGTTAGAGAGCATAATTTTGTGTAAAGAAGCTGTTTTAGAAGTGAGGTGTCGCTCTTGGGATCACTACTCAGGTGGTTCACTG